GTCCCTCCTGGTAACATATCAAAGTACAGGAGGCAAAGTCTTGGCGTCCTTGCCTCTGAAGAGCATTCTGACCTTCTTCTCAGACAGATTTGTTTGTTCAATATTCTTCACCATCATGAATTCAAATGCATTGATTCTTCTCTGGTCTTCCTTAGTCATTGTCCAGCTTTCGCATGCATGTGATTAAAAATTCCATGGCTTGGGTCAAGTGCACTTTAGTCCTCCAAGAGACATCTTTGCAATACTGTAAAGAGGGCTTTTGTAGCAGCTTTGTGTAATGCAATAAGTTCTTTGATTTCCTGACTGCTGTTTCTAAGGGCATTGATTATGCATTTGAGTAAAATGAACTCTTTGACAACTTCAGTATTTTCTCTGTTTATCATGTTGTTGCTTGTTGGTCCAGTTGGGAGGATTTTCATTTTCTTTATGTTGAGGTGTAATCAGGTGGCCAAGCTGAAATGAACTGGTTGAAAGCCCTTAGATTTTCATATATGTCTTTCATGTTCTCTCTTTTCTCTCTGAATAGTTTTGCTTCGTCCTTTGTCAGTTAACATTCTAGTAGGACAGTTTTCTCATTCCATGTAATTTTTGTTCATCCAGCAGATACTCGTTGGGCTCAAACACAGCAGTGATCATGAGATGGCACAGGAAGCATTGCGTTCTGTCGTACATGGGGTCACTGAGTTACAGCCAGTTGGACGGCATCTGACAACGATAGCTAATGGCTATGTGTCTTATTTCTGCTTCTTGTCTTCTAACGATGATTTTCAAACTTTTGCCAAGCTCCAGAATTGTCCTTACCTTACCATGAACTGTTGCTGTCCAGTCAATGTGGACTCATAGCAACTTGTTAAGAATGGTTCAGATTGTTGAGCCCCACCTGAGAGTGGAGTTCAGCAGCATGGGGTGGGGTCCAAGAATTTGTATTTCTAACACATTCACAGGAGCTCTGGTAGCATAATGCCTAAGGCACTTGACTGCTAACCAGAAGGCTGGCGGTTCAAACCCACCAGCCACTCCTCGGAAGGAAGGTTGGGCAATCTACTTCCGTACTGATACTGCCTTGGAAACCCAAGGAGGGGTCGCTATGAGTCGGGTCCAACTTGACGGCACATAACAACAACAACCACAACACCTTCACAGGTGATAGCATGTTTTCTTTTGTTCCTCATGTTAGTGGCTGTGTTGGGCCTACGATTTCATATTTTCTTTGTCATGTGTTTTGGTCTAGCCAGGCAGGAACTTAGGCCTTTCATATGGGCAGAGCCATTTTGTCTTAGGGCAAAAGGGGGAGTGAGTGTCTCTTTACTAAGTCCAGCCTTGTAGCTAGTGATAATTCCTGCCAGATTTTGACCACAGGCTGTTAATTTTAATTCTTGATGATATTGTGAGTTTTTATCATTTCCTGTAGTTTCATAGTTATTTTTTTAGGAAGTTGGGAGAAACTGTGTCAGAGGCTCAACCCATGATAAACGGTTAACAAGATGTCTTATGTATATGGTTCTTCTTAATTTTTTTTTTTTTTTTTTAAAAACACAACCACCAAAAACCTCTTGCTGTTGGGTTGATTCTGATTCTAGCAACCCTATAGGACACAGGTGAACTGCCCCAAAGGGTTTCCAAAGCTATAAATCTTTATGGAAGCAGACTGCCTCATCTTCCTCCCCCAGAGAAAGAACCTGGTGGATTCTACCCGTTGACCTTTTGGTTCGTGATCAAGTGCTTAACCACTGTGCCACCAGGGTCCCGTGTTCTATTAGAATAGGATAAGTTAGGAATTGGTTTCATTTTAACTATCATGTTTTAAAACAGTAAAAACTGAGGAAAACAGCTTGATTCATTCTGTGAGAAGCAAATATGGACCATGAATTAAAATGACTGTCTGCAGACTTTTGGTTTAGATCTGAGTGTTTGCTGCCTGTGCAAAGTTCAGAACCTTCTTGAAGACCTAAAATTCCTCCCCTGTGTTACTTCAGACACAGATGCTCAGAAATGATCCAATTGAATAGAATTAATTTAAACTTTCTTTTCCCCCCAGAAAAATTTGCAAGAAGAAATTGATGCCTTAGAATCCAGGGTGGAATCAATTCAGCGGGTGTTAGCAGATTTGAAAGTTCAGCTGTATGCAAAATTTGGAAGCAACATAAACCTTGAAGCTGATGAAAGTTAAACATTTTATAATGCTTTTTTTAATTTGTTTAATAAACTTGAATATTGTTTAAAATGATAATTTCCCTTCTTCAAATGAGATGGAAAGCAAAACTTTTTTTTAAAATTTTCATTTATTTAATGGAAACTTGCCTATTTTCACATGTCTTGCTTATTTATTTTATATTTTTAAAAGAAGACAGTATTCATCTATGTATTTTGCATAATGATTATATCACGTCTAGGGGCTTTATGTCATGTTATTAAAAGCAGTTAAGCAATCTTTTCATGTGTCTATATTATCATTTAGAACATTTGTTCCAGTTTTCATTTACAAGAAAATCTGTGCCGTGTTCTTGTATGTCTTGTTTCAAGGTGCTGTTTAGTGACGGCGAAAGCATTACGTGTGTGCCAATGGGGCAAGGAGGCCTCATCTTCTGACCTCCTCTAACCCCCCAAGAGGAAGACAGAATCACCATCAGCAGCCCAAGGCCTATCCCTGTGAGGCCAGACATGCTGCCTCCCTCCAGCCCTTTCACCAACCCTGACACCAACTGTTCCTCCTGCAACACCCACCACCTCCCTGCTGGGTTTGATAATTCGCTGCAGTGGCCACACAGAACTCACAGATTGTGGGGTTTATTAGGGAAGCACTAGGCTACAATTCAAGTTCAGGAACAATGCTCAATCTCTCTCAGCCTGCCCTCTCTCAGCCAACAGTCTCTCTCCCAGCAGTGTGTCTCTCTCGGTGTCTCTCTCAGCAGCACGTGTCTCTCAGGAGTGCGTTTCTCTCAGCAGCATGTCTTTCACAGCCAGGAGTCAGAGAGACTTCTTCTGCCTCTAGAAGGGCTCCTTTTAAGCCTGGCAGAGTGACTGCTAACCAATCCCAATATCAGAATTCTATACACGTGAGAGAGAGTGAACTTCCCAGAAGATTGCTTTGTGCTGCTCCCAACGGAAATACCCCAGGTGGATGACTTTAATAATCAGGAGCTACTCTGTTGCTCATACAAATTCCACCACAGAATTTACAAAGACTTACGGCTAGAAAAGCCATACCAAGTAATTTACTACACCGCAGTGTGTCAACTGGAGTTATTTCACGATGAGGCCATTGTCACATTTTTAAAACATAGGAATGTGTATATTTTACTTACATATACATGCTATATATTAAATATATTTAAGATAGCTTTGATACATAGATCAGCAGCATTGATTGTGGTAAAAGGATAGTGTTCTGCCATGTTGGGATACGTGGACATTCATACAAACAGAGCACAACAAGAATGTTTAAGAGCCAAGAGATGTAGTGCTGTGAAACAGCCGGAACTTGACAGGGCTGCCTTGTTTTTCTGGCTCTCACCGGTTTTCTGACTTTGACACGGTCCAGTCCTACCACTTCTCTGTTGCTCTCTGTTAGTAGAAACTATTTGTTTTCCTTTTCTGACAGGTTTGCACCTTACACAGTTTGCAGCTTTCATGGGTTTTACTGGAATGGAAATGTGTAGTGCTTTTACTGCATTTTCATGATGAAAAGTTTTAGACTTTGTTTTAGTCTTTGTAATTAATTGAGGTTGACATTGATGATATTGTGGGAGGTAGGCAGCTATATCTTCTAGAGTAAGGCTTGTTGCTTAAGGAGAAGGTTTATCCTTCACTTCCCAAAACACACAGGCTTTGGTATTTGGAAAACGTAATTGTATTCACTTTCCAGCAGATGGCAGTGATGTGCCAAAATA